CTCAATTTCTCTCAATGTGTGCTATTTATAAACCTTTTCTAGGTATAAATTTTTTTTTCTAGGTATAAATTTTTTGGTCAGATAATTTTTCAGACTCAAAAGTTCATCAAATTTATTCCTGTTAAATTATATCTAATTCAGGTTCATAGTAGCTATGGTCTACTGAGATTATTTTGTTTCCTGATCAATCATACCACATATTTACTATTTCTTTCCACTTTACATCTTCTGGAAATGTGATGACTGTATCCTTTAAATGTTTTTTAATGCACCCCTTAAAAATGAAGGTTAGTTTGAGGAGGACAAGCTTCTACATATTTTTATTTGGATGACATGAAAATACCGACCAGCAGCCTCTGCATATAATTCTTTAACCAGTTACTAACCCACCTAACAATCTTTATTTATATTTCTTCACCTTATCTACATTGAGACACCCTGGCAACAATAAATTGCTTTGGTTTATCTACTCTACGAGGTATCTAATTTTTTCACAATGCTTCTAGACCAACAGAAATACCTAGTAGTTCTATTTACTAATTAATTACTACCAAACTGTTTGAGTAGTGGTCTGTGCTTTGTCCAACAGATGTAGTTGTGTTTCCCTTCAAAATTATAAAATATCCATGGCACTACGATGCTCCAGTTTGCCTCACCACACAGTTTGAGAACTAAAGTTCTAGCCTATAATCCTAAAAAGCAAAACAAAACAAAAAAATTTGACATAATATATTCTGTGTGAATTTATACTTTGTCCAAGTGATTGCTACTTCCTCCTAAGACGTTTGCAGGCATCACTTTTAACCTTGCCAGGGATCAACACAAAGAAAACTGGTCTAGTTTACAGACTATGTTTTTTGAAAATTATATGATACTTGATGATCTTTGGTTGTCTGCCAATTCTTCTGTTTTCCATATCCTCAAACAAAACCAAAATAAATTCACTGAGTATATATAAAACTTCATGCAATCCTTGGCATCATCATTAATGTTAACCCAATATTTTAAAATTTTATAACCAACCAAAGCAATAACTTTTTACCTTATTCACTAGTAGTATCTTGAGTAGTATCTTCATAACAGAGTGTTTAAGAAGAATTCTACAGTCAGATGGATTTAGTTTAAATCCGAACTCTACCACTTACTAGATGCCTGACCATGCATAAGTTTTAAATCTCTATAAATTCTAATTTCTTCATTTTTACTAAAAGAATAATAACTAATCCATAGGGTTGCTGTAATGAATAAATACAACTTGATATACAATAAGAGTTCAATAATACCTACCATCAATAACAATAAATTCATGCAACATAAGAAAATGCATACTATATATCTGAATACCACTAAGCCAACAGAGTTGACACAAATGAAATAAAAATGATCTTATAACCACAAATGATTTAAAAACTGAAAATTAAAATAGTGACAATATATCTAATGCAAAACAAAGATTGAATGGAAGATGTGGCATATTGGAAAAGGCAACTGAGAAACAGAGCCATTTAAGACAATTTGAAACTCAAATATATGCAAACATTTCAAGGTTATAATAGGAATTTGATGCAAATGGCCCAACATAGTGCAGTTTGTCATTCCAAGTGTGCAGAATCAAGAAACATTGTGGAAGATGAACAGTGTGAAGAAACATAACATAGTTTTCTCTATTTTCTTTATACTATCATGTGGGAAACAAAGGCAAATGAAAAATTAAATTTCCTTACAGCTTATAGTCCATTGACAAGTCCTTGAAACAGGCAGAGTAACATTCCTCTAGGAACTCAGCTGCCTTGATGATGACACTTTGCTAAGGGTGAAAGGCAATCTTAGCTTAACATTATCCTGACCTCCAGGATCCTGTAAGTCTACTTTAACATATAAAAATTCCTTTGGAAACTTTTTATCTCAACCACCCTCCCAACATATATGTTGGCAATCATACTCGAAGCTTATGGCCCCCTGATATAAATCTGAAAGGTCTCATGACTGAGTTTTTATTAAACAGTAATAAATGACCTTTTCCTAACATCAGCTACCCCTCTCAAGGTCCTAGACACCTTGTTTCCAAAATACCTTAGATTTACACTATTCCTAATCCCACTTGTCACAACCCCAGTGCAGATCTTTCTGCTCACAGGTCCTATTTCCATATTTTAATAAAACCACCTTTTTACACTGAAGATGTCTCAAGAATTCTTTCTTAGCCATCAGCTCAGAATCCCAACATTTTCTACATCATACTATACATATTTATTTTAGATTTGATTAATATAAAACTAAATAAAGCCAAATTTTATACTATAAAGATAAATAACACCACAGGATAAAAGCCATGAACAAAATTTGCTTTCTCATTTCATAAAAAAAAAAAAAATGCATATTTGTGAGTCAGTAAGTAGCCTTCCTCTCTCAAAAACAGAATCTACGATTAGCTTAATACTTCAGGCTAGCGTATATAATTCATAAAATTAATTTATATTCACCTCAATTATTAATGTTTATTTATTTTTGACAGAGAGAGAGACAGAGCATGAATGGGGGAGGGGCAGAGAGAGAGGGAGAC